TCAGAGGCGGTCCACGTAAAGAAGCAAGCCCACACCCTGTCACTTCCAACCTCGGGAGAGTATTCAAAAGCTTTCCTTTCCCTATGTCTCCTGTACTCAAAAGCTCCGTTTTGATCTCTAACCCTGTTAGAGATCAATGTTACTTCCATGTTACTCTAAACCCCACCTGCAGGTTTTAACTTGCTTTTCTAAGATATTTTCTTAATTATTTCTGTGATATTCACCTCCCCAGCCATTTTTTAAAGGTTCCAAATTAAACTATGTGTGAGAAATGATGTCTTTGCTATCTCGTCCCTCATGGTTCACAGTGACTATGCATTCTGACCAGAGGGTCTATACACTACCTACCCAGATCTCCATATACAGGTAGTAACTTCATGTCCTTTACGCCCTCGGCTAGTATGTCACATGACTATGCTAATGTAAGCCATTTATTTACATATCTGACACTACGTGGCACTTACTGCGCCCACAGAATGTCCTTCCCTTCATTCTTTTTCTCTCCTGTCTCAGTCACCTCCACTGTAGAATATGATTTTATAGACGGTGGGACATTATTTTCATCAGTATTGCATCCCTCTCATCTAGAACAGAGTGGAGCTCTGAAAAGGCAGTCAGTCATTATGGGTGATTTGTACATTCCAGAAAACTGATTCTTTTAAAACCCTTCTCCTCATCCATTTTGTTCCTCTTGGCTCATCCTCCTCCTGTAAGACAGTGGAAAGAGAGGCTATGAAGACAAAGCTGTTTTTCCTCATTTTTATACATGAAATATCTAGTGTGTAGATTTTCATGATGTCACCCAGGAATGAGAGCTTACAAACCAACTGTATTTTTTTTTCTTTGTTTGTTTGTTTCTCTAGAACGAAAAGAATTTTGCATTAGTCGGTTAACCTACCACTCTGCCTTGCCAAATGCTTAGTAATTGTTTGTGGAATTAGCTGATTAAACTGCTCTTCCAGCTGATTGACTCTTGTTAGAGTAGTGATTGTTCCAAACTGATACCATGTGAGTTCTTTCAATTCTGTTAGTGAAGAACAATGTCTTAAAACTAGGAGCAAAAGAGAAATCATGTGCATTTCCTTCCAGTACTGCTTATCTTGCTTGTTTGGTTGTCGATTGAGACAGGGTCTGGATATATGGCCTAGGCTGGCCTGGAATTGGTGATCCTCCTGCCTTTGCCTCCTAAGTACTTGGAGTCAGGCATAAGATGCCATTCCCTGCTGCATAATACTGATAATCTTGTTGGCTTTCTACATTTGACTAGTTAAAAATAATGTAGAATGGGAAGGGTTTTTATTTGGGCCAAGGGTAGTCTTATACTATTGAAACGATAAATACTTGAGCGGCAGAGACCACCTTAGGACAATGACTTCTCGGTGAAATATTCCAGAGCAGCTATCCTAAGTACCTCAAAAAGAGTCAAGTGTACCGGGAAATGCTTTCCACTCTAGTAACAACAGGTGCTACCTGCCCCAGACAATGAAACTGTCTATAAACACCAACTCTCTGCCTCCTTCATTTAGATGGTCTGCTCTGTTCTTGACATTCACCTTCTTTTGCCCACCTTCTTTTGCCTTTGGTTCTTATTTGTGCTCTTAGTGTAGCTGGCCTGCAACACAGATTCCTTCTGTTATCAGAGGCTGCTCATCCACAGTTGTGCAACTTGGCTATGCTGCTTAGGCTGAGTAACAGCGGGAAATCACATGCGTGTACGATTCATGTACAAGACTTTAGCTGTCCTCAGTTTTGTCTTCCAGGTTACCTCAGAAGCTAGCTGTTCTGTTTCTCAGGCTGTGGCAAAAGCAGCACAAAGTTCTCTTCCAAAATTGTGCAATATTTATTTGTCCTGAGCTTAGCTTTTCACGCGTCATCTGATTTCAGATGGTGTGGCACACATGTTCTTGACCAAGGAGGGAAAGGAGAAAAAGAGAGAAGTGAAGGTAGAAACACATATATTCACTCATTACAGAAACATCTGGGTGTGCTCTGAATGAACAAAAGCAGCCATGGTGGGAAAGAGACCATTTCAAAATACAAATAATCAGTATGATGGATGCATGAAGGATACAAACAAGGTATATTATCACTGGGATACATTTAGGTACATCTTTACAAGGAGACATTCAGGTGATGACATAACCAGAAAAAAGTCTGTATAGGAAACCTAGAAAACTATGAGGATTTTTGTTAGTGACTTCATGGTACTAAAAACGAAATTCTAAATCATAATTCATTTGCTTAATTATTAATTATTGCTAATGCATAATTCATTTCCTAAAACAAGTTTGCTCCCTGTGTTCTGCCTCTTCCCCTCTCCCTAAATCTCAAGATGACTTCTCAGTGAGTAGAACCAAAGTTAAAGCTGCCACAGTATTTATTTTAAACATTATTTAATGTTTAACTCTAGTGTGCAGGGGCAAATTTGCCTGGACTAGATGGACCTGGAAACACAGGTTTTATTAGATAGGATATTTTCCTAGGCAAATAGCAAAAGACTCGGTTACAAGCAGATGAAATACACAAGATTTACTGACTTACAAAACAAGACTAGGATGGGACAGTGTATTGCTACAAGAGAAGGAAGAGGGCCCTTCCTCCCTTTATGTCTTCTTTTGGAGATGGGGGCACACGACCTCCTCATACCACCGCCATCACTCACCTCTCAGTGGCCCAGGCATGTCACCTACCTTTACTAAAATAGCTAATACTTAGAAGGGAGAAAAAAAACAAAAAACAAAAAACACCTCAGATTGGCTGAGAACTAGCATCAGGGCCTCTCTAAGCTCCTGCACCGGGGTAGGAGATGGCCTCTCTAAAAATTCAGGATAGACACCCAGCAGAATCAGGAACATTCAAGAAGGAATCAGAGACGCGTGGACCATGGAGGAGGATGTCTGCTGGGAAGACTAGGTGCACAGCCTCCAGGGTACCTGACATCATGATGAGTGTAGGGAAGGAGCTGTGACAGGGTCCTCACATTTTTCTGCTTGCGTGCTTCAGGTTTATTCCCCCGCTCCCCGCAAGGCTTATCAGAACAATAAGAAATCAGAAGTTGGCAAGCCCATTACTTCTTATCATAGTAAATAATGATGTTAGGTGGTGACGCCCTGACGCATGTGCAGTATGCTTTTTATTACTATTACAAGGTATATAATTTATACGTATTAATAGTGTATTGGTAGTAAACATGAACATCCATTTCTTGTACCTTTGAAATCCTTAAATCACCTTTTACCAGCTGCGTACACTAACTGGCCCCCGAGCTACCCACTACCCTGAATTTCTGAGTCGATAATTCTCTTCTTTTTATAGTTTGCCCACATGTGTATGTTTTGCTGAGCCTGTTTATCCATCCTTCTCCTGGATCAGAATCACCCAGGGAAGTTATTAAATAAAGACTGCTGGGCTTCAGCCCGGAGTTTCTGCCTCTACTGAATCAGGTTTAGAATGATGTTGCAGGTCCGCTCCTTGGGGTCATAGTGACTCCTTGGTCCATACATTCAGAGAGCTTCTGCCCCTAGCACCAGACTTTAGCTTTAGCCTTGTTATACCTGGAAGTACGATATGCATTCTTCTGTGTCTTGATAGCTTGCTTGTTTGTTTAAACCTCAAATTTCAACCATGTTGAATAGGGTAGGTAGGGATGGGTCATTCATTTTCCCTTTACATAGTGTTCCATCTCTCATTGATTTCTACCCACTGAGGTGATGACAGAAGAGAAAGAGAACTAGGAAGCAGTTTGCTTAGACAGCAGCAATGTCCCACACCTACCCAGCACACAGCATTGGTGCCCTCTGGTGCACAGCACAGGAATTGCTGCAGCCCTGTGAAAGAATGATCCTGCTGTGTTGCTTATAATGTGACCTACTGTAAGAATTCATATTTAAGGCTTATCAGCCATAGTAAGACATGCAAAGCTGGCCATAGCACCCTTCTGTAAAACCACCCCAAAGATCTTATAACGCAGGCATACACTAGTCAAATAGGATTCGCGGAGACAGGAGGGGATGTAGCAAATGTAATTTAAGTAGAAAATCCTTAATATAAAAATCCAATTTCTGAAACCCTACCAAATGCACACTGTTGAGCATTCACAAGCTACAGGAAGTGGAAAACCCTGTACCTATTTTCCTGTGATAGGTCATCCTCAAAATGCAGGCACACTAAGAATTCTATGTAGAATATCTCTTATGTTATATGGGATTTTAAAAGGGCACATGAAGGATTTTCACTTTTTCTGGACAGAGAACTGTACTGTCCAGGAAGGGTTTGAACTTGCTCTGTAGCCGAGAATGACTGAACTCCTGCCCCTTTTGCCTCCACCTCCTGAGTGCTGGGATGACAGGCATTACACAGCCAGTTTTATCCCTGTGCTCAGTATAGAACCCAAGGTTTTGTGCATGCTAGGCAAGCACTCTACCATCTGGGCTACATCCCTAGATCTTGGCCCCGAGTATTTCTGACAAACGGTGCTACTCCTGTACTGCTTACAATGAGGCAATTCTTGTCACTGAATACTGAAGGACCAGAGAATTTTAAAAGTCATGAGAGAAATTTGTCCTGTTTAACATTCACACATTGCATTCATTTTTATTTATTTTATATAAGCAATAAGCAACGTTAAGAAACTTGTCCAAGATCAAGGCTGAGGCTGGTTAAGCCTGATAGCAAGCCACATCACTTTATTACTTCATATTACTACTCCCTAGGATTAAAACACGGGCCTTCCCTGTCTGGGACATTTACCTAGCCACTAAAGATGTTTCCTCTTGGGTATCTGAACCTTCTCCAGGAACTGGTTCCTTTTAGTGTTTCCTGAACTCCCAAAAGCACCTTTCATGGTTTTCTTTATATGCTGGAACGTAGGTGCATTAAAAGATAAACTATGAACAGCGTCTTGCTACGTTGTCCTCTCTCTTTGTTGAACTTGAATGCGGTCTTGGACTTGCATATTCATCTAGCAGTTGACTGTACTGCCTTCTGGTTTTGTTGCACAGGGGATTTCCAAAGAAGACCAGTCGGACTGCTAGAATAGCCTCTGATGAGGAGATTCAAGGCACGAAGGATGCTGTCATTCAAGACCTGGAACGGAAACTTCGCTTCAAGGAGGACCTTCTGAACAATGGCCAGCCGGTACTGATGGAAAAGGGGCTGAGACTTAGAACCCTAGCTCCCCACTGCCCAGATCTCTCCCCCTGGTTCATTGAGGCTCACATTCATAAGCCTTGCCCACCAGATTGTTTCATTATCTCTTTATCTCAGCATCCCTCTTAGTGAGTAGGAGAGAAAAGGAAGCAGTAATGGCAGCAACTAAAGTTGAAACCACAGCAAATGATTAATGATGCTGCTATAAATGGTCCACAGAGATTCCATCCTAGTTAGGTGGCTCCTTGAGAGGAAACAGGAAGACAGTCTGGGATAGCTGGTACCCAGAAGCAGTGAACTGGAATGAAAGTCTTTCATCTAGAGAAACCTGTACTAGTAAAATCACTACCAAGGTTGAATTCTGTCCTCTCTGACTGAGTAGACACTGTCCCATCACCTCACGACTATCCCTGTCCCACCATCCTGTCCCTCGTTTTAAAGCAATGCTACTATACTTGACAACAAAACTACTTATGGTTATCGATTATATCCATCAATCTGATGAGAAATAGATGGTTCATCCACTACCTCAATATTCCATAACTGTGTTGGTTAGTTTGCTTACTCTTTTCTTATCATCTTAAGAGTTTTCAAAAAGGGCAGGGAGAGGTAGCAAATCAGGTAGCCCGAACATAGGGGAGTCTTTTCTGGCTTTATCATGAAATACCAGAAAAGTAAGCTTGGCCCTTCAGCTGAAGGAGCCTCTGAATAAAACCATCTCAGATGCCTTTTCAGAACAACAACAACAACAACAACAAAAAAAAAACCACTTTAGTTTTCTGGAATTTTTTTAAATCATGAAACATTGAAAAGAAATGTGGATGAGCCCTGTTTAATTGGAAAGTTGGAGAACAGAGGAGGAGTAGGTGCTGATTTTAATGATTAAGGGCTCTTAAGAAAGATTAAGCTTCTGCTGAACTTTGAGAGGTTATTTCATTGGGTCCTGAGGCTCTGCACAAGAAGGAAGTGTCCCCACCCCCGAAACCCTACTCCTGCTCCCAACCCTACCTGCCAGTGATTGCACACAGCATGGATGCTTTCCCTGGTCCTGTCAACAAAAGCCTTCAGAAGATTAAACAGATGCCTATGGGAATGTTTTTTCCTAGCCAGGCGAGGGCATCTCTCCAACTCCCTCCAGCACAAACTTTTTTCTTTAAATATTTCTTATGGGTGAGGGTTCTCTTGGATTAAAAATAAAACTTCTGTAAGCTACAATTCAACCATATCATTGATATGCATACTTATTTGGCTTGTTTATATTTTATAACTCATTTATGTATACATGATCCATATTTATCTGTTTTGCAATAAGTAAACATTTATAATCAGTTTCATCAATCCGACATTTAATAGTTTTTAGGACAAGAAAACTGAAGTTTCTTTTTTTTTTTTTTTTGAGTTTTTTTGTGTCATTACATAATATTCGGTTACTTACTTTGGCTTCTGTGGACAAGGGCTTGTATTTCCACATAGCACAGTGGCATAGAAACCAAACTGAGAAGTGAGGCTGGCTTCTGAGGGGAGCAGGGGCAGCTTGTGAAGGGGTAGGTGTCCACCACTGTTGCTGCCTATGAGGCGCAGGCTTGCCACTAAAATTCTCCAGCAGAACATTAGGAAGACTTTTAAGAGAGCAAGGATCTAAAACCTCATTAGAAAATTAAACTCCCTCATGTCAGAAAGCTTGATAAAACCACTTTGCATAATCACACTGGACCGAATCATTCAAACATCCTCTTCTTGTCCCCTGCCATTTCTTCAGCAAATGAAATAATCTCAACCTTAGGGCTATCTGGCATTTGAACTGTTTCACTTCCCACTTTCAGCTGGGATGAGAACTAGCAATTACTGGAAACTGTAAATTCATCCAACATATTTATCTGATTAGAGAATGTCAAATAGTGTTTGTGTTGACATTTAGAAGTTTGACGTTTTGTCCAAAATAAAGTTTATACTTTCATATTTTTTAGAGTCTTCCCTACTAATTAGTGCTTATTTCTAATTGATCCCTTGTTTGAAAATGACCCTAAAGGTATTTGTGGATTCTAAAAGTTCCTCCCAGACCAATAATTCTAAGGCACATGGGACTCGCATACAAGAATCATGTCAGCAGACAACAAAGCTGCTGGCATGCCACTCATGGGGACGGCCCGGCAGAATGGTACCAGCCATCTGCTGGTGGCCACAAGAGCATGGTTTTCCTTCCATGGGCAAGCAGTGTGCATCTGGGAATGAGGATGCCGATGCTGCCTTTGGCACAGACTTGTCCTTACTTCAGCCATTTCTTTGTGGATTCAATTTGCCTCAGGTTGCTTACACCACACCGCAGCCGAGACACTGTTCTTAGAGGTGAAGCTGACCTCAAACTCCCATGTGCTCATGTTGATCGAGCGTAGTCTGCGTGTCACATGTGGCGCTAACTGACTGACAAGATTGTTTCTGCCAGTGACACCTGCCTTTCCTCTCCGTGCTCCACTTGCTGCCCTATTGAGCAGCTCTCTTTCTGCCACTGGCTGAAACCGACATGCATGTTCTGAAGCCTGTGAAAGCCTTTGAAAAGAACATCTCCTTTAAGCCTTCCTCTGCTGTTATAAAACGTCCTTTTTCCTCTGGGTTTTTTGCTAAAGATAAGGGCAGTACAGCTATCCTCTGTGGTCTCAGCCTTGTAATTTATCATTCCCTTGGATCTGCATCCTATCAAGTAGTAGCTGCCAGGATTCCTTATCTCATCTCCCAACATTGGATTAGACTACATGGAGCAGGAACAGGAGAGAAAAGACAAAGTAAAGGAAGCCGGGAAAAGAAACAGACTCTTTAGGCTAGAGCTATGAAGCTCAAGAGAGACTAGTTACAGAAAAATGTCCAAACCTATTTTATGTTTTTATTCCTTTTCCATAAGCAAATGCATAATTGTGATTGCCCTCATTTGTGTATTTCTGTGACTTATTTTGTGCAGAGGCTAACATATGAGGAAAGAATGGCTCGCCGCCTGCTCGGGGCTGACAGTGCAAATGTCTTCAACATCCAGGAGCCAGAAGAAACAGCAGCCAATCAGGTACCGCATTGCTCTGAGCTTCCTGAGAAATAATCAGCACTCTGCCCACTCTCCCCACACGTCTCATGGACTCTGTTCTTGCGATCAACTTTGTGGCAAGTAGCGGGCAAGTCACGGAAAAGGAGACTGCTGTCCCATCAACGTCATAGGAGGTGCTCACTGCTGAGTGATTGTTGGAGCCTCCCAATAACTACTTGATATTACTGATATTGATCTGGTATTGAGCGGCATGTCTTTTCTTTCTGGTATCTTTGTGTTTTTCAAACTGTCCTGTGCTTTAACGCAAATGGTTTTATATGGAAAGACCACTTTTCATCCACACTCTCTGAAGTAAGCTAATAAATGCCCCATAATGTTCTTAAATGTCAGCTAAAACTAGAAAGGGGAGCCTCTGCCCTCTTTCACATAGGTGATCATAAAACACTAACCAACAGATCTAAGGGGCTATCTCATGCCCAGTGCTACTTAAAAAAGATTATTTGTGGGTCTGGTATAATCTGCTTTATAGTTCTATCATTCCCTGTTAGAGTTTGTAGATGTAGTCCCTAATGAAAACCGAATGAGCGAAAGAGGCCCAAAAAGCTTTAAAGCAAGCCTTTGATTCCAAGGAAGTCTCCCTCCTTCTCCTGTCCTGGAGGCTTCCTTCAGTCTGGAAGCTTCACTGTGCTCAGTATGCCACCACACACATTCATTCAAAGGAAACTAGAAATCTCGCTATGTTCTCACTTCTTGTTTTCTGCCATTACAGGATGTTGGGGCTCCTCGGGCTTCTGTAGGGGGTCCTCTGGATGGTCAAAAGGTTAAGCTCTACCCCTCTCCTCTGTCCAGTCTCCCACTGTACCTACCTTCTGTGCTTCCTTTTGTGTCTGTATGTCTGTCTTTACTGCCATGTGGTAATTATAAATACTGTGGCTGGTGTCAACTTTTCATGTTGCTACCAGATGATATCATAGAGTATCCAATGAACCTATTTGCTACAGAATATCCTTTTTTATCATTTATCTACATACTTGAGTTTAATTCTAGCATGAGTAAATACAGCAAACTTCCCTTCCGGGAGTGGGGTGATAAATGGAACAAAACTGTTTGTGGTGTATGGTTTTGTAATTTTATTCAGACTGTTGTGTTCCTTTCCTCAACCCAATAAACATTTTTCGGGTTCGGTAACTTTTTAAAGAAAAAAACATAATTAAAGTAGTCTCTTAAGCCAGCGTGGCAACACACACCTGTAATCTCAGCATTCAGAAAGATGAAGCAGCAGGATGGCGGAGCTTGAGGCCAGCCTCGGCTACACAGCAAGATCCTATCAAAACAACGAAAAGGTCTCCTGCTTAATATCACCCAGGGAATATGCGATGATGGGCTGGCTTGTGCACACGGTAATCTGCAGGCAGGAAACTGCAGGCCCCACCCCAAATACTGACATGTGTCAATAGAGTATTGGTGTTGCTTTTGTTTTCAAATGAGGTTGTGGCTGTCCTGTCAGTCTTGCTTTTGCTTAGGAGATGAGCTCCTCTTGATAGCTTCAGCCTTAGGAAGGAGCCCCTAGGTAAAATGGTTCCCCTTGTTCACTTGAGGAAATTCCGTGTGCCATGGCAGCTGCTCGCCCCTTATACCAGTAGCCTCCTGAGGGGCGTGCCACCCACCCACATCACTTTTTACCCTATAGAAGAGACCAGTGTGCTTTTTTCTTCGGAGTTTAGGATAGATAGCCTTCACTTCTGTGGGTGTTTGGTTGTTTATTTATTTATGGGTTTTTTGTTTTATTTTTGGGAATAGGTCTTGAAGGTGACTCTAAATACCACACAAACTCAATTCCAGATGTTTTCTGCTTTCTTATGAAAGCTCCTGTGAGCCCAGCTCATGGTTCGCTGTAAAAATGCCCCACCTTCCCGTGTTTGGTTAGTGAGGGGGCCGTATCCCAGGAGATGCTGACATGGTCCCTCTGTGTCTGGCCTAGGAGTACAGAGTGTCCAGCTGTGAGCAGAGGCTGATCAGTGAGATAGAGTACAGGCTGGAGCGCTCGCCTGTGGATGAGTCGGGGGATGAGGAGCAGGACGCAGAGGCGCCCGTGGGAAATGCAGCAGCGCCCTTCTTTGAGATGAAGCTGAGACATTATAAGATCTTTGAGGGGATGCCCGTGACTTTCACATGTCGAGTAGCTGGGAACCCGAAGCCAAAGGTAAGCAATAAGTACATAATGAAAAATCACTGTTTAAACATGGCTGTAACAAAAAACAGAAAAGCAATGAACAAGGAAGAATTCCTCCGATTGCACCTTTGCTTCATCAGAAATAATCAAATCACTAAAAATGCATGGTTAGGAGGGGTGATGTCTTAAATAATTTAATTTTAGAGAAGCTGAAAGTAACAATTCTGGTAACCACAGCATAATATAGTTTTTATAACTTGGAACCAACTTAAAAAAATAGGAGTTAAAAGGCCAGGTATGGGGGCTAGAGAGATGGCTCAGCGGTCAAGGGCAAATGACAGCTTTTGCACAGGACCCGCATGGCAGCACACAACTGTCTGTAACTCCAAGACCTGACAACCTCACACAGATATATGTGCAGGCAAAACCCCAATACACAGTAATCATCATCACCATCATCATCAAGGAGGGAAGAAAGAAAGCTGGGTGTGGTGGCATATGCCCTTAATCCCGGCATTCAGGAGCAGATGCAGGCAGATCTCTCTGAGGTCAGGGCCAGCCAGATCTATGTAGTGAGTTCCAAGACAGCCAGGGCTACATAGTGAGACCCTGTCTCAAGGAGAAGAGGAGAAGTTAGAAAAACTATTGCAATAAAAGTTTAATATTCAGGACTAAGTATGTCCAGTCTTTTCCTAAAGGAAGGAAATGGATGGAAGGTTTTTCATTAATATTTAGGTGAAGATACTCAGCAGTGTGTTTCATCATGGCATTCTCCTACATACCTGTCATTATGTCTGCTCTTGTGCATTCCCCTCTCACCTGCCTTCCCCACCCCTTCCCCCCTCCAGCTGGTTCTGTCACCTAGTTACACACCCCTTTACTACTGTAATCATCTCATTACCCTGTAATATTTGCAACTTTAGAAAAAGGTTTTCCATGTTTGGGGGACACACTTGGCACAGCACATGTTTGGGGCTCAGAGGACAACTCACGGGAGTCCATTCTCTCTTACTGCATGGGTTCTAGAGATGAAAAGCACCAGCTCACCAGCCCTAAAACAAAGCTTTTAAATAGAATTTTCAAATGCAAATACCTTGACAGAGTTGGGTTAGAATGTCAGTGTGTATTCTCAGATTTCACATATATCTACTTTAAAGTAGTCATTTTTAAACATAAGGGACTAATGTCTGTCAGGAATCAGTCACCATTTTTTTTTTCTTTTTTGGTTACAAGAGGAAAATGATGTGGTTTTGAAAGGGGGTGCTAATGGCGAGTCTGGAGGCTGTGGGTGCATCTCAGTGAGCACTGCTCTGGCTCGTGGTATGACCTGCCTATCTTCCAGCTGTGTAGTTCACGGACAACCATGAATCATCTCACATCTGTGCACAGGTGGTTGTGTTAAAGGGGAGGGAAGGAGATATGATAACTATTAAGTCTTTTATTTGTAGCTGGGGGTATATTGGCACACACCTTTAAGCCCAGCACTCAGGAAGCAGAGGCAGGTGGACCACTGTGAAATCAAGGCGGGCTCTACAGAGTGAGTTCCAGGCAAGCCAGCGTTACATAGTGAGACCTTGTCTCAAAATTTTTTTCTTTTATTTGATCAAGATTTATTTTTACCTAACTATTTTAAATATAGTTTTCTGTCAGTCCAACCTATATATTTAAAAATTGTTGTGCCTTTCAGCTACACTGTGTTCTTTCTAATATAGTGGGAAGAGTTGTTATCATAAACATTGATCATATGCATCTTGACCTAGAATTACAACAGTGGCCTTCCAGCTGAGACTGACTTGTGTGTGCTGCCTCCCTCCCTGGTACTGTTTGGTTGTTTGTTTGTTTTTTATCACAAGTCACCAGAAAAAGATTAGAGACTTTTTTGTTCTATAAAGCAAGCTTTACACCTTTATCTTACAAGTAATACATTTTAATTTTCAATACATAAAAGAAAGAAAAAATGCATATAATGCCACTGCATAGAGCTAATCACTGACAGTAGTATATAGTTAAATATACACACGTTGCTTCATCTAAATAATAAGAATGTGAATGACACTTTCAAAGAGCAAAAAGATATATATTTTTATGCACACATTTATTAAACAAAATTAAACTGGAGAGATGGCCCAGCAGTTAGGAGCACTGACTGTTCTTTGGGGGCCTGGGTTTGGTTCTCAGCGCCCACATCAGGTGGCTCACAGACAACTCCAGGTCCAGGAGAGCTGATGGCCCTCTTCTGGCTTCCACAAGTGCATATGCGTGCACCTGGACACGTACAAACCTACACACGTGACTTTTAAAAACTAAGATGAAATGGAATTTGCTGCTCAGTCTCCTGAGAAGATGCCTGGTTTGGCATTTTAACAGTGCCCTCTGCAGACGGGGCACTATTATCTGTCTAAACGGTCAGGATACGGGTACAGGCTTCATCCGTGTGTTCTTCCACAGATCTATTGGTTTAAAGATGGGAAGCAGATCTCTCCAAAGAGTGACCACTACACCATTCAGAGAGACCTTGATGGGACCTGCTCTCTCCAGACCACGGCCTCTACCCTAGATGATGATGGGAATTACACAATCATGGCTGCTAACCCTCAGGTGAGAACACATGGAGGGCTGGGCTCTATGTCTAGGGTTTTAGGCCTTTGATTAGGCATAGGAGCTGCTGAATTAAAAGGTGAAGTTGCACTTTTTTTTTTTTTTTAAACCCATGGAACTATTTTCCACATCTTGTATCCATCTCTGTCAATGATACAAAATTTCATGGCTTTGCAAGTATTTCTTCCATCAAGAATTCCTATAGGAATGATCCTGGTATAGACATACATTCCTTATGCAAATACTGTCAATATGTATATATTCCTTATGCAAATCTAATGTGATCGCCTCTTAGAGTTATGGAGTTGCAGTAGAGGAGGACAAAGCTTGAAAAAATAAACTGTATAATTTCAATAGAGTTAAATGCAAGAAAATAAACAAGGGAAACAAGAGACAGACTAATGGTAGCATGTACATATAAACTACTTTAAAAGAAATGCATGTAAAACATCAGTGAAGGAGCTAGAGATATGGCTCAGTGGTTAGAGCACAGACTGCTCTTCCAGAGGTCCCAAGTTCAGTTCCCAGCAACCTCATGGTGGCTCACAACCATCTGTAATGGGATCTGATGCCCTCTTCATGAAGACAGAGAACTGATTAAATAACCAAACAAACAAATAAAATATTAAAAAAATACATCAGTGAAAATCTTGGTCTAGAATTTAAGCTATCAGTATACTCACTGACGGTGTTTATGCATAAATTTAGAATTCATTTGTATCAAAATGGTTTTTCTTATATTGACCATAGATTTAAGGTCAGAAAGGCAGTTGTCTTCTTAGAAGTTAATAATTGGCCAGACATCAAACTCTCAACTCAAACTATAGATAGATTCCTTCTCACTGAGTATCACATACAGCACTATGCTGGGAACAGGAACACAAAAAATGAACAGGAGATTATTTTGTACCTTAAGAGCTCAGTGTGTAATAAGTTAATTTCTGTAAGCCCACAGAAGTATATAAGTCATATATTTAAAAGAGGGGAACTAAAATTGATAAATTCATTATATAACCCACAAAGAAAGCCACATTTTAAGATTGTAATGCATTTGTATCGTTTCATGTTTCATTACTTTAAAAGATGTTGTTAGCAGATATTTTAGGTGTCATAATAATGATGAATGTGCCCTGTCTTGCGTCACCTCTCAGTGAATCAGACTTAGGCCTGGCTCACCCTCACGTAAGAGAAAATGGTGTCTTAGCAAAACTTGAAGACTTGAAAGTTTGTACAAGACTTTTTCCTATCCAAATACCAATTTCTTTAAAAAAAAATATGTGTGCACTATCAAAATTAGACGGAAATCAATTATCCAGATAATCAGAGTATGTAGGAACACAGCACCGTCTGTCATCAGAAAGTGTCTTAGTAACTAATGACCACCTTCCTGAAAAAGTCAGAATCAGAGCTGTTATTGAAAGGGGATGCAGTGATGGCCCAGAGAGCAGATGGCCTGTCGCATGAGCATGAGGACCGGAATTCAGACCCCCAGCACCCACGTGACAAGCGGGCTTGTGACGGCATCCCGCTGGCAGTGCAAACATAGGCGGAGCTTTGGGGCTTGTGTGGAAGACAGCTAATGCTGAATGGCCTCCGGCCTCTATGTGCACACATGTGCGTGTTCACCGACACTCACATGTGAACTCACACACACATACAGGCATAAGATTTACATCCTAATGCTTGTGTTCCTGTTTGGTGTGAGTGAAAACAGAAGTAGAACGTGCCCTTTTTTCTTGTTTTCTGTATATTTCCTTGACTATTAACAAATTTCAACTGCCAGTTTTCCGACTGCTTAAAAACAGATGCTGGAGAACTCAACAAAATCCAGAATCTTTTGTTGGGTTCTCTCTTCTGCTCTTCCTCTAGGAAGGTTGACAGTGTTTACAGGGTTTTGGTTCTCCTAAGTACTGGCCAGAACTGAACTGCTTCCTGCTGTTAATTTCGATGCGTTTTTCTAGCGTGTTTGAAATTGTTAGTGGAATAAGCCATTAAAGAACAAAAGAATGCAGATGTGAAACTGGAATTGAATCTGCTTCTAGCCTTCTTCCAAAATATGTGTGTGCGCGGAAGAGCTGAAAACAAGGGAAGGCAGAGCACGGAGCTTAAGATACCAGCCAGCCTCAAGGGTCAGTGTATCTGTTTAGAGAAACTGTCCTGACAAACTGTACTGCAGTCAGTAGTTAAAGGGAGACCCTAAAGACTGGATCAGCACATACTGCACACCTGTGATATTACATTCCACTCGTAAATGCGTATAAGTACCATTTCTCAGTTAAAAAAACATAATCTTACCCAATTCCTGGGTGTAAACCACACATACGCCCTCCATGTTATAAACCTAGGAAAAGAGGAGGCAAGAGAAAAGTAGAAGACACAACACAGTGGTGTCTTAGAAGAGCCCCTGGCAGCTCCGAGCACATGCTGGCTCTGCCGCCTGCTACCTATGGCCCTCAGGAATCAAGTCACCTCTCTCTTTCCTCTGATGGAAAAGAAGAATTATCACGAGGATTTACACAGTACATGTAAAAAGCACTTGGCTTACTTGGCATATAGTGCACCTTCTAGAAATGCCAGTTGTTACCATTACTCATAGACACAGATTGCCCCATAGTAAGACTGTAGCCCCGACCCTTGGCAGAGCCTGTGGAACCTAGCTGTCAATGGTAGGTTCTGAGAGGTCCGCCCCACGTTACTGTGGGAGAGCGAGCAAGTCAACGGGGATGGAATCTGTAAGAAAGTCGCTGCCGCTGTGTGGTCCTCTGACCTCCTGCTGTTCTCTTTATCACCCCCGTGGGAAAGGAGTGTGGCATCACACGCAGCTGTGCCACAACCACCACAGCTGTGTGCTAGAGACAGGCCAACGCCCACAACACAGCTGATGCTGCCGGCCACACATGAACTGGGAAGCTGCCCTGCTCTCAGCAAGCCCACAGCCAAGGACAATTGGAAAGAACAATTGCTTCCCTCCTTCTAAACCCCTCTACCTCTGCCTTATCAGCCCCAGGCTAAGCCCCCAAGATCAGCCTCTTCAGTTCTCCCTTTGGGAGAAAATACAGAGGCAGTAGAAGTAGACCAGATGATATCAGCAAACCAAAATCTCAGCCCTCACACTCCTCCCATGATTTAAGCCATGATGCAATGAATGCTCTGGGTTGGCCAGGAGGAGCAATATACTCTAAGTCACATACTTAGACACTGCCTACAGATCCAGGGCTTAAACTGAATACAGTGTTTTCATTAAGAGTCGGATCCAAGGCACTCCTTTTCCGTGTCAGTGAAGACAAACAAGGGGAAGCAAGATCTCAGGACCTAGGTGAGAGGTAGAACCCTTACCCCACATTTGTAATAGGTCAAGGTTCAATCTCCAGCACCACACAAGGGGATGGGGCTCATGAAAGAAGTCTGAGGAACTCTCCCACATGGACATCAAGGAACAGGTTGTGCCAGTGTGTACATCCCATCTGCACCGCTGTGAGTGAACTGGAGAGTTGGTGATGCTTTTGCAGTTGTTGCTGTTCCAAGTTTCTGACCATGTTTCCTGATTTATTTTAATTCCAAAAGGAAAACCTTTTTATTCATCCTGAGTTGTTAGGAGCAGGTGTGTCGTCCAAAAATTCCAGATGTAGGTTTTGTGAATCATTTCTAGATAATGGGATTAAGTTTCCTACACGTTAAGAAAAAGAGACATTGAACCCAGAACAAGTGACTGGCCATTTTTTACCTATTCTTTGGCAGACTCAACCTTCTGTGGCTGTAGATACATAGTGTTAAAAGTAATTACCCAGCCACAGCCTTATAGACTCAATGCATATTGAACTGTTGCCATGTTCTTGTAATTTGTGAATGTTAAACTATTTAAAAGAATGCTCTTAAGTAGACATGGATAGAAAATCAAAACAGAAAGCGAACCCTCTCAGGAAACATTCATTCTCAGAAGCACAAAGTATGGCAGACAGAACACTGCAGCAAAGCTCTCTACTGCCCTGGTGCCCTTTAGTTTCCTGTATTTTTTTTCTTAATTTTGAAAATATTTGGAGGTTAAAACAGAGACAGCTCACAGTCTGTAGCCTCCATGATGGCCAAGAGGAGCAGGAAAGGGTCAGCATAAAAAAAGCTCAGAGTGAAGAAAGACACAGACACCAGGGCTTCCCCGAGCCATGGAAACAATTACAGAAGGCAGGCAAGGAAGAAGGTGAGATCCAAGGCACAGATGCTGATGTTCTACAGGATATTTTAAAGCAGGATGCTTTTTCACCTGGATGAATCTTTGGGGGATACGAAACAAGCCAGATATTCTTAGTTAGCTCCAGATTCACCTGGGCTGGACTGACACACAGCTCCAAGCCCGTGCCAGCGGGGCCATGTGTTACACGTTACACAGGTGGCTCTGTGTAGATGGCTGAAGCAATTCATCAGGGACCAGAGCACTCACACAGCTCAGCATGATTGTGCAGCACTTCACCAGACACTGCCAATTCGAAGATCACAGAAACAGTTTGGTTCAGACTCTAATCCTGTCTTTAAGATGCAGCTGAATCTAAACATGAGTGTTTTGCTGTGTTTTGTTGGGTTGCTAAGTTACATTGTGGCCCGTTTAGGTTTGGGAAGGCTGTTTTGTAGTTTGATGTTTCCTCCAATTGCATGATGTACACAAGTGGCAGGCTTTTACAAAGGCTTGTGTGCCATGAGTTAGGCTCATAAACTACGAAACATAAATGTTATTTTCATATCTCGTAAATAACTGCCCTCATGGGATGAGGCATCAAATAACCTCTACAAGCTGGATGCCTCACACAGAATCACTTCAAAAATTCAAACTTCTTGTTTGTGCTGTAACTTTAAACTCAGTGGATTTTTTTTTTTTCCTCCCTGAAATAGACGGACCACAGAGCTGAGTTGAATAAGAGAAAACTAGTGTGATGGCTACATTTATGTTAGGATCCAGCCTTGTTCTGGGCTTTGCTTAGGCTTTGCTTCTCTTGCATTATCATTCCATGGGTTAATGAAGTAAATGTGAACGTTAAAGCCAAGTACAAGGCTGTGCACTTGCACACGATTTTGATGACATCTGGGGTAGGTTGGGATACCCAGAGGATTAAAATCACTCGGTGCTGGCTCTGCCTGAGAAGCCTCTTCATAACATATTCAGGCCTCGTGCCTGAACTTTCCTCTGATGTGCACAGGCAGCATCTTCACAGCGGTGTCACTGAATTCTACATTTGTTTCTCAAAGGAAAAAGTTAAAAGTCTAGATGCTTTCTAAAGTGCTCTTGTAGTGGTCAGCAACATGCTACAATATCTTTATTACACTACCTCCTGACTCTCTCTGTGTGTGTACAGTTCAAAGGACGTGTAGGATTCAGTTTCTCCTCCCAGCATGTGGCTCCTGGGGATCAAAGCCAGTTGCTGGGTTGGCAACAGTCAACTTACTCACTGACCCATCTCACTCATACAGCGGTATATTTAGCCAATAACAACAAGGTAACCAAACATAGTCCTACCTCGTGAAGACCAAGCCCTCCCACTTATATGCAGAAGGGGAGATTACTATATGTGCAGAAAGATTTAACATTTAATCCTTACAGCGTCTTTGTGAAGTATGCATATGTGTATACATTTATGTATCCTTATTTTGCCCAAAGTTGTAGAAGATAATCAGAAATCAAATTGACCTTAAGATGATTTTTTTCAGGAAATCATATTGGCTTCCCCATTTCAAGGTTAGGGTGTGAATGTAATTTACACTCTATGAATGTCTGTCTACATAAATGACACACAAACTTTTCACGTGTCCTGGGCGTCACACCACAGGAAAGATGTATTAATTTACATGCATTCCACCACTGAATCAGCAACACATATAGAAAAGCCATGTCCCACGTCAGTGAACCTGAAGCTGTCGGGGGGGGGGGGGGGGGGATAGAAAATCCAAGCTTTCCTGTTCTGGATCTCAAAGGGAACCTTAGATCTTAAGTGTTCGTCTGATAAAGTGCTAGCAAGGTATTTAATGGCGGGAAATCTCCTAAGCAAGTCACAGGTAGATTTTTCCAGAGTGAGCACAGATTTAGAGGATTTTGATGAGATTAACTAACTGCCTGAATTCTTGAGAATCTGTAGAGATTCTCAAGCGTTTGCAAAGAGCCCATGGTAAAAACGTGTGTGCAGCCTAGGCTTCAGATATAGCTAATCCAGTGGGAAAACGGCCCTCCCTCCTAAGGCTGACCTCCGCCCCAGCCTCTAGCAATCCCTGAGTGCTACGGACATCCGCTTATCTAGCAGAAGGACACCGTTGCATTGTGCTGTTGTCACCCCCTACCCCTTGCTCCGTGGTGATTCCAGTTCTTCTCTGGTCTGCATTACATCCTGTGTATCTGCCTTTTCTGGGTGGCTGCATCCCTAAGGAAGTCATGATAGGAAAGACTGGAGACCCAGGTTGACTGGATTCCTGCCCTTCATTAAATCCTACTGTGAATTTCTTGCCATGATATCCTGTCCTGTCCCTGCCCACTCTCAGCTGGAGCACAAGTCTTCAAAGCATACACCTGCACTGCCTGTCTATACTGGCATCTCGCTACAAGGGTTTCTTGTTCATGTCAAGCTAGAATTCATGAAGCCTAATTATTAATGGCAGTTCTGCTTCTCCTATTCCCTCTCTTGCTGTTTTTTTGTGACCAGCATCAGAAGTTAGAGGGAATCTGCTCATTCTGAAAAGTGGGAGAGGAACTCCCTGTGAATAATAGTGATGAGAAAAGCTGAAAGCAAACTGCAGAGTAACATCTAGTGACTTATTCTTGTCATCTGGCTACCCTAAGGTCTATGTACAACTTGTCAAGTTTATAGTTGACAGACTTGAGAGATAAATACAACTTTTGATTAGCTAATCCACTATCATGTGGCCAACATGTTCTGGGTATTCGGTTGATCCTGGATTTCAAATTGCACATGTTTATTTTCAGACACAAGGACATATTGTGGTGATGCCCACTTTGTCCTGTGCACACTTCTCACAGGATGCTCATTTTCTGCATACAGATATCCCTAATACATGGCTTGGGCAAAGCAGTAACACTAACTGTTCATGAATGTGTTACTGAGAAGACCTGACAGAAAATTAAAATCATGTAATTCTGATCTCAGAATTGGCCACAATAAGGAGAGGTTCGACCATGAAAATAGAACATCACAAGAGAAAAACATCCTACCATTCAGTTTTACAATTTGGCTTCATGTGTTAGAAAAACTTTATTTTGCAGGTTGATGAGTGGTGTCATTTTGAATGCTATCCTAAATAATACAGATTGTTGTCACCTGAATTCTTTCAGCAAATAGTTTCGCTGGGGCACTTGGGCTCAATTACCAGTGCTGCATGACTATGAAATAATTAGTCTTAGGGAAAATAAGCTATAACACTTGCTAGTGTGATGGCTAACAGGTTTGCACAGTGCATAATATCTTCCGATCGATCTCCCCAACAGGGTCGTGTCAGCTGTACAGGACGGCTCATGGTACAGGCTGTCAACCAACGAGGCCGCAGTCCCCGCTCTCCCTCAGGCCACCCTCATGCCAGAAGGTATTTCAGATGCTCATTGCTGGGCGTCCTGGGTGGGTCATTTCTCATTCCTTTATCACCGTAAACCCATTGCTACCACCCTTATAGCAATGAACACAGACTTGAAGTGTGTGACATCATTATCACGCCCCTTTGCACTTTAGAAATAGGAGGGAACAAATATTTGCCGCTATGTGTCCAAAACTATTCAGAGATGATCATTAGTTTGTTAAGTAGGACATAATTTATGAAATATGTAAAAGTCAACATTCAGGACCTTTCGCTGGCACATGAACATGAAAATACCAACAAATGGAACATGAGTGTTCAAAACCAAATCTGAGCCAACAGCCGTGTGAGCTGACAATCGTGCGCTGTTACCATTATTCTTAAAAGCGGCTAGTTTGGTAAGAGTGCATTTTCAATCGCTCCGTTCAGAACATAGCACAGTGAGACCCTGAGTCTTGTGGGTAAGATTTGTCGTTGAGATCCCACGTACTCTAGCAAATGTCTACACCCCTCGCCTATGACAGATGCTGAAACAGCCACGGCAGGAAGGCACTGGATGCCATTTCTTAATAATGCATTTGAATTTCAAAAGGAATATGGCGAGACAGCTGGCCTGTGAGCGTGTGTTCATTCTTAGCTGAATTGCACACACAGCATCCTGAAATAGTCCTGACTGTAAGTTAAAGGCTCCGAGTGCAGACACCTTTGGTGGAAAGATAAGGTAAACATCAAAAAAGTGGTGCCCGGGATCCCCCAGTGACTACCACGGAGCCCCAGCTTCTGACAATGGCTGGGCAGCACACACACTGCTCCCCATGGCAGTACCAGCCCCCAGACCTCTGGCTGTGCCTATTCACACATGTCAGGCTTACGCCCATCACTCTGCATCCTTCTCTTTTACCTTTTTTCAGTAAGTAGAATTCACCTAAACTTTCCCAGGTGTCAGTGGCTCCACAAGGCCTGTGGCCACACATTATAGCTCTAGTTAACCTGTATGAAACAGCTGATCGCTGTAGCCTGAGGTAGCTGAAAGTCTTATTTGCTCCATTATTCTTTTTCTAGTTAAATGGGGTCGTTTTTTTCTTTTTGGTCTTTCTTTAGTACTGAAGACTGAACCTAGGGCCTGGCCCATGCGTCTGAGCACTCTTCCTCTGAGCTACAGCCCGGCCCTCTGCTTTTAAACTCAGTCTTCCCAGTGATTTCTGACATTTGCACTCAGCATCTTGCTTGGTGTCTCGCGTCTCCCCTGCCATTACTCTCAGTGCTATTGCTCTGGTAACAAGGCATACAAAGTCTGAGAGGTCCACACCTCTTTTAAAGCAGAAAATAAGGCCTTTAGGCATGCAAAATAATGAAAAATTAAATGTGCCTAAGAATGTAATTTGTTTTCCTGAGGAACATGAAAAGGAATTTTGATGAGAAATACATTATATTTTTATAAAATAAGAAATTATAATTAGCTACAAAATTAAAATCACAGTGAAAAGTTAATATTAATTTCTACTTGGAAAGATACGATAATAAAAAAAAACGAGCAAGAGCAGCTATTACTTCTAAGATAAGCTTTAAAAAAAAAAACTCCTCCATTTCTGTTTTGTGATTTGTATTTAGTAGTCTGCTGATTGGAGACTATTAAACTGATCATAAACTTGCAAATGAAACAAGGTTTGTGTGCCTTGTTTTTGGCCTATAAACTTGGGGGGTGGAGTCAGACCAGGACATCCGTCTCCTGGAAATCACTACCATGCATGTTTGTATTTATCTGCCCGTCGAATCCCTCATTTCCAGGCCTCGATCTCGCTCAAGGGACAGTGGAGATGAAAAGGAGCCCATTCAGGAGCGATTCTTCAGACCTCACTTCCTGCAGGCCCCCGGGGACCTGACTGTCCAGGAGGGCAAGCTCTGCAGGATGGACTGCAAAGTAAGTCTGTCTGCACCTGCCAGATCTGCGTTGGCTTCTGTCTCTCCTGTGGAGTACAAGGTGGTCCTATCTCAAGCAGAAGGGATTCCCTGTTTACATAGAGTCATCATCATGATTTTCTTTACCTCTAAACTTCTGTCAAATGTGTTTACCCTGAACTCGATGCCCAAACTCCAGGAAATTACTAGGTTGTACTTCTTCCTTTCCTCCCTCCCCCTTCCCTCCCTCATTTTGTAGCAACAGTAAGTATGACTCTATCAAGCATCCCAATTATCAGGTAATCTCCATGATTACTTTGTGCTATGGAATTACTTACTTTTTAAAAATTTCTCCCACTTTGCTCTATTATTTGCTAAATATATATATTATATATCATATATTATATTTATTAAATATTAATCTATTATATAATGTCATATATTAGATTTTATTAAATTAGCATACGTGCCAACCGGTTTCCTTACAGCACTTTCATACATATTGAGTTTGGGTTGCTTTCCAGTCCCCACTTCCCTTATCTACCTGCCTCCCTATTCACACTACATTTCCTCCCCTACCAGGACCCCCCCACTTCACCTTCTGTCATTTGTGTGTTACAGTCTTTTTTGTATTCAATAATCATAATTTATTGATTATACTCCCTTTCTCTATAAAGGTTAACTTGAAGTCCATATCTTTTTTTTTTATTTATTACAGTTTATTCACTTTGTATCCCAGATGTAGCCCCCTTCATATCCCCTCCCAGTCCCACCCTTCCTCCCTCTTCTCCTATGCCCCTCCCCCAGTCCAATGATAGGGGAGGTCCTCCACCCCTTCCATCTGACCATAGTCTATCAGGTCTCATCAGGACTGGCTTTTTTGTCTTCCTCTGTGGACTGGTAAGGCTGCTTTCCCCTCAGGTGGAGGTGATCAAAGAACCAGCAACTGAGTTCATGTTCCTATTATTGGGGAACCTTCTTGGACACTGAGCTGCCATGGGCTACATCTGTGCAGGGGTTCTAGGTTATCTCCATGCATGGTCCCTGTTTGGAGTATCAATCTCAGAAGAGACCCCTGTGCCCAGATTTTTTTTTGGTTCTGTTGCTCTCCTTGTGGAGCTCCTATCCCCTCCAGGTCTTTCTATCTCCCCTTTCTTTCATAAGATTCCCTGCACTCTGCCCAAAGTGTGGCTATGAATCTCAGGATATGTTTTGATACCCTACTGGGTAGAGTCTTTCAGAGGCCCTTTGTGATAGGTTTCTGTCCTGTTCCCTGTTTTCTCCCTCTTCCGAAATTCGTCTCATTTGCCTTTTTGAGTGAGGATTGATCATCTTACCCAGGTCCTCCTTGCTTAGCTTCTTTAGGTGTACAGATTTTAGTATGATTATTCTATGTTATATGTCAAATATCTACTTATAAGTGAGTGTATACCATGTGTTGTGTGTCTTTCTCCTTCTGGGATACTTTACTCAGGATGGTCTTTTTTAGATTCCACCATTTGCCTACAAATTTCATGATTTCCTTGTTTTTAATTACTGAGTAGTCTTCCATTGTGTAAATGTACCACAATTTCTGTATCCATTCCTCAGCTGAGGGACATCTGCGTCTCCCATCCATAAAAAGCTCACGGCCAAATGGTTTCAGCACAGAATTCTACCAGACCTTCAAAGAAGAGCTAACACCAATACTCTTGTGTGTTATAGTCTTAAGCTTTAGCTAGTAAATGTGGATAGCTTTTTAAAATTATTTGGGCTCCATCTGCTGGTTCTGCATGGGATTGCAGAACATGAATAATGGCTTGTAGAGTTTGTTAGAGAGGTTTGGAAAAGTTGCTGTTAAAGTAAGTTCATGGCACACAGCCAAACATTACTTGGGGAGCTCGGGAATCCCACTGATGTGGGACAGGGGAGTGTAGGGAAGGACTGTAGGAGTCAGAAGGATTGAGGACACCAGGAGAACACAGCCCACAGAGCCTGAAGTGACACTCATGAAAGCTGTATGACTCTGAGCTAGGTCCTCTGCATAGAAGTTATGGTTGTGTAGCTGGACGTTCTTGTGAGACTCCTACCAGTTGGAGTGAGGGTTGTCTCTGACTCTTTTGCCTGATTTTGGAAACCATTTTCCTCTTGCTGGGTTGCCCCACCCAGCTCTGATATGAGCGTATATTAGTCTTGTAACTTGTTATACTGTATTCAGTTGACATACCTGGGAGGCCTGCTCTTTTCTGAAGGAAAGTGGAGGAAGAGTGGATCTGAGGGAGAGGGGAGGTGTGGGGGAGTTTGGGAAGAGTGGACGGAAGGGAAACTGCTGTCTGGATACAATATGTGAGAGAAGAAGAAATTAAAAATAAGTTTTATGGCTATCCACGTGCCACAGCTAATGTGAGGCAAAGGGAAATAATGCATATTGGTATTTCTAAAACTAGGCCATAGCTGTGGCCTTAATTGGTTTTGAAAACATCAGTCTTGCAGATGCAAGAGTAGAAATTATGATTCTTTTATCAATATGAAAAAGAACATGAGTTTGAGAGAGGATCTGCCGATGACCACAAGACATATCTTAAGGTAGAAATAGGAGGACCATCTGTGTCTCCTCATTCTTAGGCAGGGGTCAAGCGGCTTTAGTTCAATCCTAAAAATTTACTTTGAAGTAATCTAATTTATTTGATTACTCTTTTTTTTTTAAAGTAAATTTGGGCTTCTTTGAACATACAGAAAAGAATAAATGTATTCTTTAAAATAATTTCTTTTCTAATGTAGTATATCTTACAATACAAAACATTAGTTGAATTTCAATAAATTTATTTCATTTTTAATCAAGAATTAACATAGGAGGAGGGCCAGGCTTGTTGGCTCCTGCCTTTGGTCCCAGTGGTCAGAAGGTAGAAGCAGATAGATCTCTGTGAGTTTGAGGCTAGCCTGGTGTACATGATGAGTTTCAGGACAACCAGGGCTACATAACATAACTCTATTACAAACAAACAACCATAGCATGGCCCTGTCACACATACAAACATACACACAAATTTTAAGGTTCACACGTTAGGAGCCAGTAAAGTGTCTGCTGTTCATACATGAGGACTTGAGTTCAGATCTCTCTAACATCCACAGAGAAAGCTGGTGCTCTGTAACCACTGCTGGTGGGGTAGTAGACACAGGTGACCCCTAGAGCTCATTTTCCGGGCAACCTAGCCAACCAGCGAGCTCTAAGTTCAGTAAGACACCCTATCTCAAAAATGACGTGGAGACCCGACATCAGCCTCTGGCTTCCACCGACAGGAGCACATGAATACACACGAACATGTGCACAAACACCACACACGAGAGTTCATATGTCAAAACTACTATATGATTGAGCCAGACGTAGATCCACAGGAAACGCAATCCCAAGTCAGAGACGTCTGCGCTCACCTCACTCATGGTAGCTAAAACACAGAATCAATTCAAGTTTCCCGCAGCAGATGAGCAGATTTAGACATATGCCCGTGGAAGGTAAACGGAAATTGTGAAAGTATGGTGATCCTAGAGGACAGTACCTGAAGTGAAGTAACCCTGGCTAACACTACGTGACCTCACTTGCTTGTCACTTACATGCTTCTGAAGAAGCTCGACAGTGGAGGCATTGACTGGTGCTTGCTGAGGGCTGGTGGAGCAGGACTGTGAAGCTGTCAGTCACAGATATGAACACCAGTCACGCAGGAGACAGAGTTCAAGAAATCCATTGTTCTGCTTGGTGGTTATTAGCCACCCATCAAGCACATGAAGGTGACTGACAGGAGGTTGGAAATGCTCTTGCCGCACCAAAAAAAAAAAAAAAAAAAAAAAAAGGATAAGCATATGAGACAACGAATGTGCTTATAATTTTATTATTCTCCAATGAGTGCATAGTCTAGAACATCATGCATGCAAAATAAACACGCTAAAATTGTTTACTTGCCCATTTTCTAAAGAAGTACTTTAAATTTAAAAAAAAATCTTAGAGAGGACCTATACATGGCATTTCTCGTCAACAAAGGAAATGGTGATATGCTGGGATTGTTATTAATTTCGTATTTAAGAGAGGAACTGTGGGTCAGGCATGGCGGCCTGACCCACCCTTACTCCCAACCCTCATATGGGGCAGGTACAGGCAGCCAGCTTGGTCCCCCCAGGAAAATATAAGCCAGAAAGCATTATACAGGCAGGCCCTGTTTCAGGGAAAAAGAAGAAAAAAAAAAAAAAAAAGGAAAGAAACATAAGAAAATGCATGTTTTTAAACATATACTGCACTACATAGAAGTAAAATTGCAGCAAGTCTGAGATTTTAAAACAAGCACGCAGCAAGCGTGGGTATGAGTGCTACGCTCTTCCATAGCACTCTGATAACTACTTTTTATAGCTCCAGACAGCAACAGAAATGTCCTTTCATCTCTGCCTTTAAAAAGATATTGAGAATTAAGATAACCTCTACTTGAATTCACTATCACGATCTGACCCGGATAAAGAAACTACGAAAGCCACTGGATGTGGTGGCACAAGCCTGTAATCCTAACACTAAGAAGACAGAAGCAGGAAGAGAACAAGATCAAAGTCAGGTTTGGCTACGTAGTGAGCTCCCCACAGCCTGGGTCACGTGAAACTCTGACTCAAAAACAAAGAAGAAGAAATGGATGTCTTGCCTGTGAACAGACACTGCACAGTGCTACCTACTTCAAAGAAAATGTTCAGTGTGTTTAGGATTTGAAAGGGAAATAAAGACTTCATCAATTGAACACTGAACAGAGAGCCCTTCCCACCACAGCCCCTGCATGCAAGCCTGAGGGGCGGGAACTCTGGTGCGCCTCTCCCTGCATCTCCACGTGGATCAGACTGGCCAGCTGTGATGACCTTCAGCCCCTGCTGTCCTCCCGACAGATCTCATGCTGTCCTCACTTGCGCACTGGGAGTGTGGGGTGACGAGAGCCGGGCATGGTCCCTTCGCCTGGGTATGAGTAACTCTCCGTACTGGAACAGCCCCTCTGTGAACTGTGTGTGTTGAAACGACCCAATCAGTGTCTCCCGAAGATCCTGTATGTCCACGACCAAACCCGGAGAAGTGAGAACAAGCTATAAACTCCCCAAGAGCTGGATCCCAGCTGGGAATATCTCCTGCTATAGTTCTGTACCACTGCTAATGTCTTCCTGACAGGGAGGGGACATGTGGAGAGCTGGGGATGACAAGGGACATGAGGATAGCATACTGCCTCAGAAACCACTTCCTAAATACTGCTCTCTCTGAAATCCCATTTCAACCCATGACTTAATTGCACTTTTTCTTTACATTCTCCAGGCCTGACTACATGTATAGGAGATCCCTTGTTGGTAGCAGAAGTGAATACTTACCATGGGGCAGGATGGAATTATGAATCTCTGGCTGACTCGGACAGAGCTAGTGCTTCAAAGGAACCATTTTATAATCCGTTAATTTTATGACTGTTTTATAACCCAATAAGCTTTGGGGGCCAAAATACATCACTTTCCACTAGTAAAGGTGGAGGAAGGAGGGATACCAAAAGCTCTAACTTAATTCTCTTTTACTCTAAAATCAAAGGCAACATGGTAAAAGGCTGGCAGATGGCTACCACCCCTCCCTTTCACAATGCACCATGGTACTAGCAATTAAATGTGTTTCTATCTGCTGTCTGGTCAACACAATTGCCATGCTCTTGAGATTTCAGGATGTCTCCATTGTGATGCTAATTTGTCTGTGACTTTCTGGGCAATTTCAAAATGCTCTTATTATTCAGTTTTAAGGATTATAAAATAATAAAAGGCCTGTGTACTAATGGACACATTAACTAACATCTCCATGGTGATGGCCACTCCTTGATGGGAAGCTTGCAAGCTGAGTGTAATGGTTATAATGGTTGCACAGCTTCTATTTTCCAAAGAGGTCAGAGCCCAGTGCTGACATCACCTGGGAATGTTTATAGGCTCAGGTGAAGTAAGATGATGACAGAAATATGGTTCAGTCCCTGTTTCACTTACCTGTGGATTGTTCTAAGAAGTGTTTAGAAGTAAGCCTCTATGTGCTATGGAAACCATGGGAAGGTTTTAAAAAGAGTAACATGAAAAAGCCATTGTTTGTACTAGCAAAGGAGGAATTGATGCTGGATCCAAAACTCTTGGTGATTTGATTGCTTTACTATTACAGAAACTTACTGGTATCTCCTTTCTGGTTTAGGTGAGTGGGTTACCAACCCCCGATCTCAGCTGGCAATTGGATGGAAAGCCCATCCGCCCCGACAGTGCTCACAAGATGCTGGTCCGTGAGAATGGAGTACACTCCCTCATTATAGAGCCAGTCACATCCCGGGACGCCGGCATCTACACATGTATTGCTACCAACAGAGCAGGACAGAACTCATTTACCCTGGAGCTTGTGGTCGCTGGTAGGTGGCCTCTGGTTCCTTTCTCATTGCCAAAGCAAGTTAGATGGCACAGAAACAAATCCTCCATCATTAAATGATGCAGAAAATGAGCTAAAATGCTAACAAAACAGATTGTGTCACCAAGCGCAGCGGTAGCATGTGCGAGGCTTAGCAATTCAAAGGTGTTAATTTTCCTTACCTCAGCACAAAAAGAGAGAGGATCTCTTCTCCTTCTTTTCACTGCTGTGACAGGCCTAGTGTTCCACAGGGCAAGAGTGACAGTAGACAGACTTCCAGAACTTTATAGAGAATCCAACAGACTGTTTTTAACAGGTCACATAGCGATTTCAAAATTAAAAAAACTTTAATAATGTCATCTATTCCACAATTCAGCATCAAATTAAACTCGTCTGCTTTCTGAGCAACACTGTAGGTAAGTTGTGTTAGTGTCATTATGGGAAGGTAGACTCTTTGAGAAATCTTGAATGAGAAGACGTTCATGGAAAGGCTTAGCCTACCCTTTGGCGTAAAGAAGTAAGACTTCTGATGCTCTGACCTCTTGCTCTCATGAAGCCGGCCAAAGCATAGAGTGTGTATGATCAGGGCTTCCTGGGGTGCCCTTTAGTAAGCGAGTAGACTTGGGACAGCCTCTTGCCAACACTCTGTGAACTACTCAGCTTCTTTAATGGAGTGACAATGAAAATAAAATCAAGAGCTTGGCTATAAAATCCTGGGAATAACAGGACCCAAAAACTGGAAAATATATGTGCTATGCTGTCATTTTAACCAGGCTTTTTAATAAATGTTGTGCAAAGTACTCTACCTACATGGTAGCTTTTGTTTCACCCATTTCTCTAAACTCAAACTAAACCCTTCATTTTTCCTCCTCTTAAATGCATCCATTGGTCTCATTTGTCCATCAGAATAGGACTTGAGGGTCCCAGAAACAGATGTCTGGGGGTCCCTCAGCCCTGCTTTCAGGGCTGGCAGGCCACACCAACACTAACATGGTCTGTGCTGTCAGATATCAGTTTGTCTGCTACTGGCTGTGTTTCAAGCCAGTTTTAGTACCCCAACTGCTCCCCAGTGAGATCCTGTGCTGCTTGAGGCGCTGCTCTGTGCGCTGCTGCCTATGCAGGTCTTCATAAGAGTTTTTGCAGTTTAATCTTAGAAAATGCTGTATGTGGGGGGGGGTGTTATGGGCCCCCCCCTAGTGGAGATGATGGGATAACTATGGGCTGTTTTGCCAGTGGTGACACAATAGTAATACAGAAACTAATATCTGATGGCAGACTCCCGGATTCGTGTCCGTGTCAGGAAGGTGTGTCTCTAGATTCATCGTTGGGCGCTCAAATGAAATTAAACCTTTTTCTATCTCTGAAATTTTTTCTACCAGTGACCCAAGAAATCAGTTTCCCATTGGCTGATAATGTTTAGACTGTTATTAACAATAAGTCTTGACTTTTAAAAGACTAAGTAATAGAGCCCAAAAGATAATCACAAAGTTGTCTAGCTAGAATTTGTAATTTACAGGCTGTAGATCCTTACTTTAGAGATAACTATATAAAATTGCCAAATTTAGTTAAGCATACCTGTCCTTGTACGTATTTTTTCCTCGCCCTTTAAATCCCCCAGTACGTCTTATTACATCATGAGTTCCAAATTTTGAATCTTCAAAATAAACATTGCGGGTGGCAGCCTGGGGAATCCTAGTCCTTTATAAAATATTCGGGACCACTAGGCGGCAGCAGCAGCTAAGGGCTGTGAGCTCCCGTTGCCTTAATTAGGAGCAAAGCTAGCACCGCCTAGAGCAATCAATGACTTCGGGTCGCTGAGGCCTGACAGGCAGGTGTTCTGAGGGGCAGATGGCCAGGGCGCTGTGTGGGCCTATCAGCCTTGAATTAATTGAGGAAACACGTGAGTGGGAGAAAGCGTGCAGACGTTTGCTGGAGGAGAGGGCCGGCCCCTTGAACCACCTGAAGTCAACTTGGTATCTTAAAGGAGCTACTCGGTCTTCCCAAAGCTTCTGAGTTCCTTGCAGTGAGCCTTTTGAGTGCCACTAACAGATAATCCATCTCGTGTTTTCTTAGCCAAAGAAGCACACAAGGCCCCCGTGTTTCTCGAGAAGCTGCAAAACACAGGGGTCGCCGATGGGTACCCAGTGCGGCTGGAATGCCGCGTTTCGGGAGTACCACCACCTCAGATATTTTGGAAGAAAGAAAACGAATCTCTCACTCACAGCACTGAGAGAGTAAGGTAAGATTACACAGTGCCTTCAGCTACCCCAAAAGATGAAAAGGTACATCAGACACTGCCTGCAAATCGGTGAACGTAAAAGCCGTGCTGATGGACGAGACAGGAGTCAACGCTTCGTCTAAATGCAGGCTTAAGCTTCTGGAAGAAAGCCATGTTGGGATGTGATGGAGCATTTTCTGACTTAACCTATTTGCATTTTGATATGTGCGTTTGAAAAGGAAAAGATGGATTCGTTCGCTCCCGTGGTGACGGCCCAGGGGATGGTTTGTAAAGGCAGGTCCCCCTCTAGGAATTAGTGCATAGATTTATTCGCCCTCTTGAGGTCTGCACCGTTCTCCCATTAACCTAATGGGGCCAGCCGCCTCTCTAGAATAAGTATGATCCCATTATCGGCTACTCGCACAGTGCTGTTTCTAATGACCCAATTAAGAAGGATGCTTCATGTCCAAAGCCACTTTTTAAAAATTTAGGGCCCTAATGACTTTATCTTTTTCTGCAGCATGCACCAGGATAATCATGGCTACGTCTGCCTGCTCATTCAGGGAGCCACAAAAGAAGACGCTGGGTGGTACACGGTGTCAGCCAAGAATGAAGCCGGCATTGTGTCCTGCACTGCCAGGCTGGACGTCTACAGTGAGTGCCGCCCCCTTTCACGCCCCTCGTCCCGCACTGAATGATTAAGAGCTGGGTATCAGGATGGCCCATCATACCACTCCAAGCTTCAGATTCTAAGTTTATACTCCAGCATTTTATTTGCAAAAAAAAAAAAAAAGAAAAAGAAAAAAATCATATTGTTCTTTCTCTTTCTGTTTCCAGTTTCCCGACATTAACAGTGAAATCCTTCCAGGAGAGCAAACACCCAAGTATCACCAGAGTCTTTGATTGATTAGCTTAGCGAGTGTGCATGCTGATTTCTTAGGCTGGCTGGTCAGCTGAGGCTGTCTCACTTGAGTGTCCATAGGGGTTAACAGCAGACAAAGGCATACGCATTTTTCACACTTTCTTATTCCTATGGTCTGCAAGTGACTGTCTTTTAACACTTCCTCTTGAATCAGAATCCTTTCAGTGTCCTGCTGCAGTTTTAATGTGTGTACCTTGATTCTGGAATGTGTATTTGCATAGCTAAGCGCTTTTCTCATTAATATATCTCAAGCAGCTCAGCAGTAGATTCTTGACTGTCTGTGTGTGGGTATTTGTATACATGCATCCTAAATTAAAAAAAAAAAAAAAGAACTACCAACTCAATTCAAAGACTAGCACAACAGCATTATCTAATCCACTGATATAAGAACACCACTAGAAAATATTAAAAACAAATTCCAAATTTTACCTCTGCTTAAGAAAGTAACAAACCTTTCAAACTTTCCCAAATGCCTGGGTTTTTTTTTTTCTTCAGTTTATTAATGTTAAAATTCTATCAGAATTCCTAACTATGATTATTATTAAAGAAAAAAGAGGAAGATAGGTCAGATGTAGGAAGCTTATCAACTGTTTTGAACCTTTCAGCTGATACAGTTACTAAAAGAACAGTAATTTCCCATGTTGCCTGGCTTTACAGTTCCAAGGCCACCTAGAGACACTGACTTGTGATACTTGTAAGTAAAATGCAAAAGAATATACATGTGGGGCCCTGGAGAGATAGTTCAGCAGTTAAGAGCACTTCCTGTTCTAGCAGAGGACCTGGGTTCAGTTCCCAGCAACCACATGGCCGCTCACAGCTCTCCAGTACCAGGGCAATGTGGCACCTTCTCCTGGATTGCCAGGCACCCAGAACATACAGGCACCAGTGCACACGCATACATGCGGGCAACATGCTCGCACACACACCCAGGTGCCAGGGACATACCAACACACACACACTTCTAAAAAAGAATTTGTATGTACCTGATACATATCAAAAGATGTTAGTTTTGTGTGTGTGCTTTTTGATTTTAGAGACTCTACAACCCAGTCTGGGCTATAACTCACTTTGCAACCCAAGCTGAGCTCAGACTTACAGCAACTCTCCTGCCTCTGCCTCCCAAGGGCTGAGGGTACAGGTGGAAGCCAGGCTCTGCCCAAAAGGACAGTCTGAATTTACTTAAACCCCTAAGGGATTTCTAAGTGTATCTTTGCTAAAAGTCTTCATCTACTCTTTTTCCTTTTTGTAGCCCAGTGGCATCAGCAGCCGCAGACCACCAAGCCAAAAAAAGTAAGGCCCTCTGCCAGCCGCTACGCAGCACTTTCGGACCAGGGACTCGACATCAAAGCCGCCTTCCAACCTGAGGCGAGCCCATCGCACCTGACACTCAACAGCGGCCTTGTAGAAAGTGAGGACCTGTGACCAGCACCCTTGTTGACGCTGAAAACTGAACACCATTGCTTTGACCAACATACTCCTCTGTCACGTTACATAAAAGGCAAAAGTATACTTTTGACATTAAGAAATTAAAAAAAAAAAACACCAAAATCCTATTTTCTTACTTGATAGAGAGTCTAAATAGGTGATGCTTATAGAGATGTACACATTGCACAGAAAAATTCACATTTACTGTCCAGGTTAAAACTTTTGGAATTGCTGTGATTAAAATGGCCTAAAATGCCAAAATGCCAAAAGAAATCAACTATCAAAGGTAACCACGATTTATGTTATCTCTAAGTGCCTTTAAACACAAGCTATAGGTGCTAAAGTGTGGCAGTGTGAAATGTTTGACAGATACTCCAGTGACTCTAACTTGCAGTGTCTACAGATGGCTACAGTGCAATATGGAAGGATGGAAAGAATGGTGATGAAATCCAAGCGAATGCCTTGTCTTTAAAAGTGCTTACGTTAAATCAGAGGGAAGGAATTCCTTGCCTTATATTTCACTCCTATCAGGAGTTTTCCTTTTACACTACCTTAATAGGAAGCTTACTTATAATTCATAGTAAATAAAAGGCTAATTTAAACTTAAACAACTGAAGTGTTCTAAAGAAAGCAGATATGTATTATAGTCCATTCCACAAGAGGTATCCAAACCACCCAAATGACCAAGGCATATAGTGTTTGGAAGAAGGTTTGGAAGGCATGGAAAGAATGAAGGAAGGAATCGCTACCCACATGGGATCTCATATCCATTTAGATGAAAGCGCTAGGGGTGGGCCAGGCTCTTCTTTGGTTTTCCTCTAAACCTTAAAAACATAGGTGCAAAAACACTGCCATTAACCAGTCAAGGACTCAAGGGAGTCCTCTGGAAGTCTGGAGAGCATGTGTGGGGGAGACTTCCATGTAGCTCAAGTGTGTAGTAGTTGACGATGTTAGTTAGTGTGTAGAGCAAGTTGGACATGGTTGAGAAGGCAAGGGTGGCATAAGTGGGAAGTCGCCTGTAAGGTCTCGTCTGCCTGAGGGAAATGGAGATGTGGGGGACAAGAACAGGCTTGTGCTGCAATGAATTTCTTTTCCACTGGCACTGAGAGGTGGTGAGTGGAGATTACCAGTTCCCTTCACTCCCTCATGCCATGGAACCTACCCTCCAGAGGGTGCCAGGCGCTGAGCATCTGTAAAAGCAGCTGCAAAGACCGCTTATTGGATGCACGGTTCTGCATCAGCTAAAGTGTGTTGATTCTGACCAGACTTGATGACTTTAAGTCGGAACCAATTTTTTTTTTTTTTTTTTAAATGAGAGAAAGTAATTTGGCCTGGTAGTATAATACATGAGGCTTTAATGGTACTTTGCTATGAAAAGAAAACACTGTGTTCCTCATGCAAAACATACCTGTTGTTCACTATTTATAAAAGTGTTAAGCTTTCTTAGCTCAGTTACTCAGTTCATACATAGTACTTCTTTAAAACAATTTTGTATCTGTAACCACCCCGTGTATTTTGTATTACTGCTTCACATGCTTTCTACTTTTGTAAGGACACCAACCAACCGAGTTTAGCAGGCTTGAGCACTGGACGGCGGATGCTCCACGCAGCGCCGTGCCAGTCTCTTTGACCATATCCACATCGCTAATGGGAGAGTTAAGTTACCACGCAAGGTCTCATGGACCTATCTCTGTTGTAGAATTGTGATCTATATTATATCATACTTGCCAAATCTTTCTGAATGTGACTTTTTTTTTTTTTTGCTAATTTGCTGGGCTTGGGATTAACTAGCATTTTTTTTTTTTTGCCACCTTTTATGTTGTATTTATGAAAAAAACAAAAAAACAAAGTACTATCATACTTTGGATTGTTGTGCTGGTGTAATGTGGACTTAACATCAATAAATAAATATTTAACAAACAGTAGTTGACATTGTGGTCTGTCACTGCTATAACGAGCCAACAGACTTGGAAGCAGATTCAGAATTGGATAGATCAGAAATTGGGTAAGAGATGGCAAGTTCCCAGTTCACTGTGTCCCCGGCCACAATAGCATCTGATGCCCTCGTAGTTATGACAGAATTCAGAAGGTCCCTGGAGTTACGGGACAGAGCAGCCAGGGCTGCTCTCCTCTCCCCAAGGCCATGGGATTTCTTTCCCTCACCTTCAAAGCCAGAAGTGAGAATTCCCTTCATGCAGACCCTCTCACACTTTGATTCTCTTTTGCTATGGAAAGGCCCACTCCCCTTTAAAGGTACACCTGAATAAATCAGGCCCACCCAGATAATCTCCTTTCTAAAAAACACTTCGTTTAGAAACTTAATTACACCTTCAAAATCTCTTTCAGGAGATAGGGAGGTAGCTCACTGGAGAAAGTATTTGCTGCATACAAGACCTGAGTTCATATCTCCAGCACCTCCCTAAGAAGATGGTCATGATGACATCTGTACGCTCTGTGCCCAGGGGGGCAGACTCCTGGAGCTCCCTGGCCAGCCAGGATAATCAAAACAGCAACCTCTGGGTTCAGGGGAGGGATCTTGTCTCTCAAAATAAGGAGAGGTGGGAGGAAGACATTTTGATGAGGTCATCCTCTGGACTGCACATGTCCCTGCATGGGCAAGTGTACCCATTTCATGTGCACGCGGCACACACACCTACACAACAACAACCTCTTCCAAACAGCACAGAGACTCAGGCTTGACAGGATAAGAGAGGTGTGCGGGACTCAAAAGCAGCTTAGCAAACAAAACCAGAAGCACCAATTACATACCTGTGCGGTTCAAGGCATGTAACAAGCTGGGATTTCACCCACAATGCCTGGCATTTTGTTTCCACATCCTCTGATCTATTCTTTACATTGAAGTTTCATCTAACTAAGGAGTTATCCCACTATACTATAAATGACGGGCATTCACATAATTCCTTCTTTTGTGAAGCCTGTAAGTCTTAGAAGTAGCTCTCTCTAGACTGGCCATCAGGAACTTGATAGAAATGCAAATTCTTGAGTGCTGCCAAACTCTTCTGGATCAGAAATCTGAATTTTAAGGCCAGACAGACAGCTCATCAGTTAGACACTTGCCACTAAGCCTGATGTCTGAGTTCAATCTTTAGGAGCCACGTGGCAGGGGCAAACTAACTCCCACAAATGGTCTCTGACCCTATCTATGCACATAGAAAAGTAAGCAAATATAAAAATGTTCAAAAATTAGAAATCAGGGTTTTCTCAAGCCTTCCAGGTGACCAATTGTGGCTGAGAAGCCATTTTCAGAGGAGAGTCTGTTTCCTAGTCCCTTCCCTGCTCAGCTGACTCTCAAGCCTGCTATGTTGTCTGGGATCCTGAAGTTGTTAATAAATTGAGTCACGATTGTTCCCTCTGAACATGGCTCTTTTTGGTTACTTCATGAGAAGAGTCTCTGCAGAGGGGCGAACTCCAAGAGGCCTCAGCATCTTAGTTTTTCTTCATCTGCTTAGTCAGTGGCAACAACTCAGCGATATGCTGTACTCTGCCACCAGAATCCTTCCCAATTAGAGACAGTTATTTGACCTCAATGAAAACTGTTATGTTGTCCAGACACTTCAACTGGCCTTAGGGGCCTTTAGCGTCCTGACAACATCCTGTGTCACTACCTGTGTCCTATGGCATCACCTGGGCCAGGTGCTTCAGATATTACCAGTCTGGCAATCTCTCTGCTTTTGTTTCAGTCAGTGTGCTCCCCTCCCCCATCTCTGTCTCTCTGTCTCTCTCTACCCTCATGGCTCACTCATGCCCTAACTCTCTTCTGCTTCCCTTCCCCCAAATAAAACTCTATCATATCAGACCTGTGTATGTGTGGCATTTTTAAGTACATACTACCAAAACCCCTCTCTAAAAACATGGATATACCTCACAAATACAGTGTGATGTCATGAAACAAAGAAATGACACACATCCCTTCAAATACAGTTAAGATTTCTAAGCAAAGAGGGTAACGGCCCCAGCATAAACAGAACCCACAGAGCTGTGTTTGTTTTAAAGCCATTTGCCCATATGAAAATAGGGAAAAGAAGAGATAAATGCCAGAAAGCATATAGAGGATTAGGCATTAACTTACAACTGACCCCAAAAAGCTTTCCAACAACTAAGGAAAATGCAATTTGGAAAGAGAGGGATCAGTTTCCCCAGACAGTGCTCATAAAAAGCCTGCTGTTAGAATTATCTGCTAATTCTGCAAATCAAAGCAAGGGAAAGGCTTACAGCAGTCAGTGGACTCTGACCTTCTACACTATGTGCAGGAGACTGAAGCATAAAATGTGAGATTCCCAGGTGGAGACAGGACGGGTGATCACGAGCATCATGCCAATAACTGGAATAAAGTCATTTTAAAAGCATTCTTGCCCTCCAAACTCCAGACTACTGACAAGAGGAATGTCAGGAATGGTGGCCATCAGCATTTCAAGAAAGAAAGTCTTCCCTGGAAAATCCAACCAGCCAGCAACCAGAACACTATGGTAGTTGATATTTGATTGTCAACCTGACAGGTTCTGTTTTGTTTTGTTTTGTTTTGAATTTTTATTTATTTATTTTTATTTCTTATAATTTATTCACTTTATATCCCAATTGTAGCCCCCTCCCTCATCATCTCCTGGTCCCACCCTCCCTCCCTCTTTCCCCCTATCTCCTTCCCCTAGTCTACTGAAAGAGGGAATTCTCCCCCTTGACATCTGCCCCTAGCTTATCAAGTCACATCAGGACTGCCTGGATCCTCTCCCTCTGTGGCCTGGCAAAGCCCCATCGCCAGGGGGAAGTGATCAAAGAGTAGGCAACTCTTTGAGTTCATGACAGAGACAGCCCTGGCTCCCCTTATTCAGAGACCCACATGGAGACTGAGGTGCCTATGGACTACATCTGAGCAGGGGGTCTATTCCTCTCCATCATGGTCCTTGGCTGGTGCAGCAGTAATGGTTTACTTCACCTTTCAATAGCTCTCCACATATTTCAGTCTGATATAGGTGGAGAGCAGCTTATTTTAAAGCATGAACATACACACTTAGGGGTAATTCTATTGATAAACTAGTCTTCATTGTTTTTTGGGCTTTTGCTCATGTAACCTGGGCTAGCCTCAAGCTCATTACAGAGCTGAGAACAACTTTGACCTACTACTTCCCACCCCAAGTGTGGGGATTACAGGTGTGTGCCATCATACCCAGCTTCTTCCTCACTGCTTCCCCCTTGATGACACAGCAAACCAGCTTCACTGCTGACTTCAGAACACAGTGTGTCCAGCATAGGGAACTGAGATCTACCCAAGTGTGAGTGGTCAACGACAAGTGGGACAGACCATGGGAAAGAAGCTACCCACTCCCTAAGCACAAACTCTCCTCCCCAGACTGATCACGTGGGAAATACCCCGCATGGAACATGCCTGGAAATGCTCCTACTGAAAAATTCTCCCGTTGCATGCCTTGCATTTAGCACTAGTACTAGCTGCGCACACACATGTTCTCATCTGACAAAGGCTGCAGATGTAACCCATGTGTACAGCACTTACTTTGTAGGCAGCCCCAGAGCCCAAGGTTCAAGGCTCAGTACTGAAAAAAACAGAACGCTAATAAACTAAGAAAGTATGTGAGAGATAAAGGGCTCCGTATTTAGTACAGCAGTGGAGGAGGGTTCCCCTTTCTCCACATCCTCTCCAGCATGTGTTGTCACTTGAGTTTTTCATCTTAGCCACTCTGATGGGTGTAAGGTGAAATCTAAGGGTTGTTTTGATTTGCATTTCCCTGTTGGCTAAGGATGTTGAGCATTTCCTTAAGTGTTTTTTTGCCATTCGATATTCCTCTATTGAGAATTCTCTGTCTAGCTCTGTACTCCATTTTTTAATTGAATTACTTGATCTGTTGCTTTTTAACTTCCTAAATTCTTTATATATTCTGGATATTAGCTGTCTGTCAGATATAGGGTTGGTGAAGATCCTTTCCCACTGGTATAGATATATAGTTTTTGACTTATGACACTGTTATCTAAATTTTTAGTATATCTTATTCATATGATTGAATTGACTTTCAATACATACTTAAATTTCTACTTAGATAATGTTCTGCCTCAAAACAGCAGTCACATGACTCCTGGATTGCTGGGTTTTGTTCTGTTCCTGACTGAAGAACTAAGGCTCAAACCTGGGGTCTTACTTATGCTGGGCAAGCATTCTACTACATCTCTAGCCCTTTTTAAAATTTATTACTATTAGAGTCTTGCTAACTTTCCCAGGCTGTCCTTGAACTCTGTAACCCAGGGTGTCCTTGAACTTGCTATGATCTTGTCTCAGCTGCCCAACTATCTGAAATTACTGGCACCTTGGTAAAAACAGGGTTTTTGTTTGTTTGTTTGTTTGTTTTCTTTAAAATTCAGCCTGATACAACTGTATCACAATTGGACAACACAATTTTCTACTTTTAAGGCAAAAATGTATAAATTGTTACTAATTAATAACCCTTACAAAATGTCTATGTACGGAAATTGCTATGGCCTCTAAAGATAGAGAACTCACACCTTTTAGATTACAACTGGTCACACATTGTTCAAGACATGTTCATACAAAGATGGACTCATTTGTAGCATCACAAATTGTTTCCATTAGCAAATGTCACCCATATGATATGATTTGCCTAATTAATAGGCAAATGTCCGCTTGACCCTAATCACCATTACAGCAAAATCATCTCTAATTAGACAGTCAGTTGTAATCCTCCATCCACGACCAGCACATGTCCCGTGACGTATGGTGACTCTAAAAGAAACACAACCGCATGTGCCACCTCAAGAGGGTCTCCAAATCGCCCAAGAGGGATGTTTTTCTTTAAATATTCTTCTTTCAAGTGTTTTGTCATATCCGTGTGAATAAATCCTAAAAGAGAAATGTTAATTCAGTTGAAACACACAGACACTAAAGGCTCAACTCTTATAAAGAGAATTTATTTGCTTGTGAGAATTTGAAATTATCAATAAACATTGTTTAGGAAATAGAGTATTGTTAGCCATTAATTAAGTGTACAGTTTTAGTCACTTTAACTCGATGAATGTTTATTGAACACAGAAATGCCTGACTCCCAAGTCCATGGCTCAGCTCTAGGCAAACATAGAGACAATGGAGAGCATGGGTAC